CTGAGCTAATAGGCCAGTTGATATGCAATAAGAAACTATGAAAATAAATCGAAAAAAAAAAGAATCTAAAATTTGATGAGGGAACCCAAGGTTTGATTCTCAAACGTTCCGGATTCAGGCATACATGTGTTTTTTTTAACTACTGATATCAAAATGAACAGTGAAACCATTCTTCTAAAAAAGGACTGATGTAGAAACAATTTCTTCAGTCTTCAGAGCATGATTGCATGATCTTCCTACAATTTATCCCATATGAAAATATTTGTCGAAATGAGTAAAGGAAACAGATTCAGAGAGGGTAATAATACTCCTCAATTTCATTATTCAAAAAGATTGTACAAATAAAGCAGAAAACTGAATACCAGACCAGTAACCAACATATTACAAAAAAAGAAAAAAAGGGAGTTCATCATCAAAATTGTTAACATATAGCTACTTGAAATTTAGCCACTATAAACTATACATCTCGAATTATTACTAACACCAGGAGATGAGCAGATCATAAACCATTTCCTACTTTCAGGAAATGCAGAGCCATTCAATTGTTGTGGCTAACATAGATTGAAGTGGAAAGAGAGAATCATCCATCACACCAGAGGTGAACTTAAGGGCTTGCCTCGTCCCATCGTGAAACCCCTTGTTCCATCTGGCATTCTTGGGCCCTTAGCGGTCTGTTTTGGAAGCGCATCACACTGGATACCACTGCTAGTTTGAGGAGCTGCAGCAAGCAGGCCACGTCCATCGTGGTTCTGAACGCGCCCGCGACACTTTCCTCGCCCTTTAGCCCACCCCTTCTTTGATCCCACTGAATTCTCTTCAGCCTACCAAAACAATAAAATTGCTTTCTGTGAGACTAAATATCATTTATTCCAATAGAAGCAGGTATAATATGGTTTGGCAATGACAGTTTAGATGAATACTGTCAGAGATAATAATGCAAATTGTTTAACGAGCACAGGCCCTTACATTGTTCTCAGCTGAATCATTATGGGTTGAATGTGGGGAATCGTCACTGCATTCAGTATACGGTAACTCATCATTTTCTAGAATGCCATCAAACTCTGACTTTCTGTTTTTCAGGACAGATTTTGGCTGCATATTCATTTGACATTAAAAACCGTAAACATGTTTGTAAAGCAGAAGCACAAAAACACAAAAGCTATTCATCTGAGAAAGATAGTCACGTCGACATCAAATCAGACATACCGAGCATCTAAGAAGCAACCTTACTCGAAGCCCTTTTCTCCAATTCCTTTCATCATTTAACCTCTCTACCTGGTGAAATTAACAAGTTCTGAATACTATTCGAAAAGTCAAAATGAAATTTGGAAACAGTGAAACTTGCAATCTCAGATTTTAGCGGTGTTAACATACAGCTTTCTCAGCTATCTCTGTAGCCTCGTACTCCACAAGTGCATGTATCTTAAAGAAAACAGAAAAAAAGTATTTGAGGGCTTTTTCAATAATCTCTTTTTTAAATAATAAACCTGGTTAGATTTATAATCTTCATACCTTGTTACAAATGAAGAAGTCACCTTTAGAGCGGGAAGAATTGGGTTCCTGAGGATGGCATATCCTGATAGTTTTCACACTGTTTGTGACAATGACAGTTAGTAATTTGGCAGGAGCAGCCTTCTTCTGACAAATTATAACTAATTAACTATAAAGTGACGAATAATGACCTTCCAACAACACTGAAGATTTTGTCAAGGTTCTGATGTGAGTGATCGTCAGGCAAATTCTCCACCACAACAGTACGAGACTGCAAGAAATAAGGGTGCATCATTCCAAGATTACAAAAGAAAATAAGAGAAAAAAGAAAAAAAAAGAAAAAGAAAAACAACTCATGATCATCCATGTCAGATAGGAAGTCCACCCTATCTTACCTGCAGATCCTCTTTGTCTTTTTCAGTGAAAGGAAGTTTACGCCTAACCTTCTTGCCATCATCACTCACAACCTTCCAAAAATATAAAAGAATAAACATCTAACTCTAAGAATCAGACATCCAAGAGAATGGTTGTTGATGATTTATCACTTCTTTTTAAAGGAAAAAAGGAGCTCAAGTTTAACCAAAGAACTTACAAGCTTTGAAGAGGACTGGAGTGCTTGGGAAAGCAACTGGTAGTTATTAGTAACCAGGGACTTGATTTTCTTTGTAGATGCAATAAAAGACAAAGGTACTGTTGCAAAACTAACATTTGTCAGTGAAATTTATTCTCAATAAAAGTATATAAAAGCAAATATTTGAGTTACAGGTTTATATATACTCTTCAATAATCTTTACCATAACCATCAGGATCTTTATTTATTTGTTTTGAAAGTGATTCATTCGCAAGAAGACTCATGTCACTGAACTGGTATTCCACCTGTTTCATAAACAAACCATACTTCAGACTAAAAAAATTGTCAGAGTAACTAGCTGAAAGTCTTCAACTTCGTGCCAAAGATGTACAGGCACCCAGAGCTCGTTCCTGTTGAATGAATGCAGGAACTGCCTGTAAAATGACATACAAATTATGGATCCGCAATGTTTCCCACAGTAAACAGAAAAGTACTAGAAGTGATGGCATCTATAAACTACTAACTAAAATACATGAATGTAAAGAAAAGAGGCTCCATGCTAGGAGATTTATACAAGCTGCATTTGGTATTGGAATCAAAACTAACTTTAAGAAGAGAGTAACGGAAGGGGAAACATATACAAAGGTGGAGAAAACATATATAGCACTCTCTCTAAAAGTCATTTTGAGTCCTTAATGAATTTTTCTGAGAAAAATTTGCCATCGGTTTGGAACAAGGCTATAGTGGTTTCTGAAAGGGGTTCCTCAACTGAACTTAACAAGGTCAAACCAACATGGCATGTGGTCTCTCACATGATATAATCTCAAGAACTTGCTGTTCCTTGAACCAATCATGGCATCATGTGTACCCGAAAACGATAATGGATCTTGATTTAGAAGCACAGAACTCTCCTTCTCTCACACACACATACACTAACAAACTTGAGACAGCAAGAAGGTAGTGATGAAGAATAGAAAATAAAAAACAAGGCCTTCACACGAAATTTTTAGCTCAAGGCAGAAATTCCTTTGAAAGTTTGCCCATCAAAATGAAGCTTTCATGATCCATCTTCCAATCTCAGATATCCAGGAAGGAAAAAGATTGATCTAATCAAGAACGCAAAAGATTCACAGTCATCAAATCCACAGCATGAATCAATCACTTCATCGTTATCCTGAATCTAAAAATCTGATATTTTCTTGAATATTAAACGATAGAAAACACAGTGAGTCACAAGTCATCGCAAACACAATTAGGGATCGATCTCGACCTGTTTGACGATCTTTTGCCGGAGATCGTCGGTGAGAACATTCTTGGAGGAACAATTAGGGATCGAAAAATTAGGGTTGGCCAGCAAATACGCCGCGGGATCTTGCTCACCCCCAAGAAAGAACCAATCCGACCCAGCCGCCCCACCAAGATAATGAAAACAGGGATAGAAATACCCCGATACAGGCATCTGGGCATGCGATCTCGGCACGAACTCCGGCGCCTGCACATTGAATTTGAAGGTCGCATTACTGTTCCCAACACTAATACTACCACTGCCACTCTTCCCCATCTTCGTCTCCTTCACCTCGACCCCCTGGGGTCCTTGGAGTTTCTCCTCCGGTTGTGCCTGTGCCATTTTCCTCGGCAAAGATACAATCTTTCTGGCGATTATGCTCTTGGGTTAGTGAATGCCTGGGGAAATTCCTCGCTTTCTCCCCTGAAGTTTAGTAACTGTAAACTTGACGTTGAATCCACATTTGGCGCCCAATTAAGAGGGATTTATTACACATGACCGTTGCAGATGGTTTTGACCATAATTTTTTTTAAATGACCAAAAAGGGGTATTCTCTCTCTTCTTTCGCCGCCGATCCCTTAAATTTTGTGAAGGGTGATTTGGTCATCCAGAATTTGGGAGTGGTGGTTCTTGTTTAGTTTAGGGCCTCTTGGCTTAGGTTCATTACTGTTAGAAAGAAGGGCTAAAGGCCCATAAGAAAATGGTCCGGCCTAGACTTGACTAGGTGTGAGTATTAGGAATGGGTATATCTATATTATTACTTGTAAGTTCCTTACCTATTTGAGAAAGTATTACACTTGAATAATTAAAAGTTGAGTAAGTAATAAATATAAAAATAATATATTTATAAGTATTAAATTAAGTAATAAAATAGGGATTTAAAATTATTTATTTGATCTGTTTAACTAATTTGTTTAAATACCATGTTACTGTACTTATATAATTAAAATTTTATATATACTTATTATATTTAATATTTATATAATAATAATTTTTAAAAATAAAATAATATATATAAAATTAAAAATAAAAGTTAAGTATATAAGTCAAACAAATCACACACGTAACATAACAACTTGTATAAATAACAAATTGAAGGATTTATTTATATAGAAATCTTACACATCACACTTATATAAAATCTCAATTATTCATTCTTTCATTTTCAATGGATGAAATTTAGCATAGCATTTTAGATGAAAAAGATAATTATGTTTATTAAATAAGATAAAAAGTGAATAAATTTTAATTATTAAAAATGAAGAGATGAATGGTCAAAATTTTAAATAAGTGTAGTATGTAAAAATTGTATATAAGTAGACCCTACATCAAATAACAAATCCTAAGTTAAAGCAATAACAACTCGCACAAATATTTATCTGTAAGTTACTTGATCCCTATTAAATTATGCATTAAGTATAAGTGTTTGAGTATTTAAATAAGGATTAAATCTATAAAGTTGTCTTTAAAAATTTTTAAATCAAATAATAAATATATTTTATACCTTACCTATGCTCGAAAATGCTCAACCCTAGATTTGACTTGATGGCCTCTAGCCCCGCTCGGGCACATATTTTAAAGGCTTCGGCCTAACAAGAGAAGTTTTCTGGGGCTAAGTTATGGTGGCTTTTGAATCTGCGTTTAGAGGGGTCCAAATGTGATAAGAAGTGCAACCACATGCTCGATTGTGAATGCAAGATGTAATCAACATCTAGAGTGGGATACTATGCTTATAACATATGGGTTATGCATGGAATGCCAAAGAATTTTGCTTCTAACCTTACTTATCAAGATTCCATCTTTATAATTTCATGGCTTTTACTGTATTAACAGTTCAAATAGTGTATAAATCTAAATCGTATTAAGGCGGGGTTCAAACTTACAATTGGCACGTCCATAGGCTAAGTTTAGAACTAATGATTTATCGTATGCATGAACTCACATATTTATTTTTGTTTGAATACATATATTCCTAAAATAAAGTAAAGTTATAGTTATAATATTATGTACAGTTGTAAGCCTATAACTATGATATAATACTAAATGAATGTAATATATCATTAAATATGTGAATATATACACTATTATAGGTAAATCTATGAGTGAAAAGAGTTATATTACAATACATCATGTTATAAGTTTACATTATAATTATCATTTCAAAAAGAAAAAGAAAAAGAAAAGAAAAGTATATATGATCTTGACATTGATGATAAAATAAAGTAAGTGAAAAAAAAAATCCCATGTGAAAAATATAGAAAGTATATTATTTGTATATAAGAAGTTGTGACTTATTTAATGCAAAAAGTTATTTCTCATCTTATAAAACAAGATTTAATTTTCTTAATAAGTTAATAAAGAGATAATTTTTTAAAATTCTTAATCATAATATGAATGGGTTGTCTTTAATTAAATTAGAAAAGAATTAACCTCAATAAACATATAAATTAACTTAAAAACACCCATACTACTTTTTTTTTAAAAAGTATAAAATTTGGGTTTGGCCTCTATACCAAAAAAAAAAAAAATTGCCTTTCCATTTAAAATACAGATAAATTTGTTCCATTTCCCCTCTAAGACTCATAATCTATGGCTGGTCCTTGAAGGAATCTTTGGATAGGAATTGTTATATTTTTAATTTTCTTTTCTGGGGGCCTAGTGCATGTATTTTTCACCTTTGCAGCTACCATGTGAGTGGAATCAATCCCCATTTATTATATTCTATTTAAAATCTTTCCCCTTAGAATAATTCAGCAACATTTTTCAGAAAAAAAAAAAATCCAATACTTTTTCACTCAGAATAAAAAAAAATTAACCAACCCATTTTTAGGGGGGTGGGGATGAAATTAGAGTCCATCATTTTCCACCCTTCTTGTCACCAAACAAACAATGTATACCATATTTAAAGCGGACCTATCTCTGTGGGCTCCTTCATTAAATCTTGTCTATAAGATTCTCTCTATTATTTTGCCTGTGAGAGTGACCCCTTTGTCATCAACCAGATCAAAGATTAGAAGTGATAGACATTTTTATTTATTTATTATTTTTTTAATGAGAGATGACTGGTTTAGGTGAAATGATAATTTTTGTTGTGAAGTAGGCACAATTTTATTGAAAAATAAAGTTTTTTTTTTTTAACAATTATATGTTATAAAAAAGATTGATTATCGTCATCTAATAAATTTTTAGAGTCACTAAAATTTTAAATTATTTTTAAAATATTAATTTTATTTAATTTAATGATTAAAAATAATTAATAACTAAATTTATTGGTTGATAAATAATATAAATCAATATTTATTATTTAATAAATTAAAATTAATTTATACATTATATTTTCAAATACCATAATTAGTTGTTTAAAAAAATATTAAAGTAGGCTCAATAATTTATTAAGTGATTATAATTATTTTTATCATCAAATAAATAAATATATATTGATTTATACTTTTTAACAAGTTAAAATAATTAATTATAATTATTATTAATTGAGAAAAACTTTATGATGAGATAAGAAATTGTATATAAAACATTTTTTTATTCTTTTCTTTTTCTTTTTTTTTTTTTCCTCGGGTTTGATTTTTCTCTTCTAGAACAATTTGACTCATTAAGAGCTGTTTGGATATCACATAATTGTGCCACCTTACGTATCATCATACCCATTTCCCGAAACAGAAAACCTTTAATGAACATGAGCTAATGGGTTCTCGATGCAGTCAAAAGCAGAAATGAGGGTAATTTATGCAAGTTGGGTAAGAGAAGAGTATAATTATTATATTTTTTAATTATTAATTTATAAAAATATAAAAATTAATTTTAATTTTATCAAATAATTAATTAGCACACATGTAAAAAAAATTTTTTTACAGTACTCGATAAAATTAAAATTAATTTTTAATTTTTTTAGATAAACTTTTCGTAAAATGTATTAATTATATTTTTAATTTATATCTTTAAAAAACTCCAGTTAAGTATGAATTAAATCTGTTAATTCCTCGATTTGTTGTGTAAATAAACAATTAGGTCACGGGTCATGTTCAGTTTTTGGTAAAACTTTCTCAGTTGCCAAACAGTACTTCTATTGATAATTTGATATGAGCTAAATCTGGAACAATATGCCAACAACTTGCTTGTCTGCTGTACCTTTTGCATTAAAGAAGAAGCTACTTCGGGGAATATAATTGAGATTAGAGATAAGAAACCCTAAAATCTTTAATTACTAAGATAAGGTCAGATCTTAGGCTGTCGTCTTGTCCAACCAAACAACACTATCACCAACTAATTCAAACATTGAAAATTGGGGGAATTGATGATATTTTTGGACATGTTTTTGCCATCTGGGTTAATAAAAAAGTGGCCTAAAATCTGACAGCTACTAACAAATTATTATACATCGCAATCAAATAAGAATTGATGGACCATACCTATCTAATTAGGATTTGGTCTAGTGATTAAAATATAGAATGAAATAAATGTGAAATACGCAATGAATCAATTTCAATGTGGAGAGAACTAGTTAAATCCCATGTAGCTGTTTCCTTTAATACCATGAAATGATTTTTCAACTTAGCCTTTCGATCGGGATTTTTCTAGGGAAAAATGTGGGTGGATTCATAATAGTTTTGTTTATTTATTCTTCATGATTAATAGTGTATTTGTTTTGAGGGAAATGCATGATAAAGAGAGAAAAGGAAACCAATAGATTTTCCAACATCCTTTCCTTTACCATCATTTCCCTCTTTCCAAACATGCTATAATCAAAATAAAACATGGGATAATGCAAAGATTAGAGAGAACCTAGAATCATACAACTAATTTTTTTGGTGGAATGTTAGCTGGACAGTCTTAATGTTCCTTCCTTTATTTCTCCTCAGGATAAAGCATTGGTACGACTTTTTCTCCATGAAAGTTCCACCAAACTTGGTCATTTTCGTCAAGAAACTTAAGAGGGTCATATCTCAACAGACTCAATGTAAACAGATAGGAGAAATGAATGGATTTCCTGAGGCATAACCAAAATTTCTAGGATACTGAGGATACCTGAAAATGGTAGAAAATCAACTGCAAAACATAAGTTCATGTAATGAAGCAGGGGAGGAGCTAAGAGCTTTATGATACGGGAACAACACTGGGTGTTTCTTCCATGGAAATATGGATCATTATGTCAACCCAACTCTTGTACCGGATATGGGAGAAAACAAAACTAAAATAAAGATAGAAGGAAAGCTAATCCAGCAAAATTCCATAGCCTCTCTTGCATCTCTTTTCTTAGTCCTTCTTTATGTATTATATAGGTATAGTTCTTATAGCGGTAAACTCCTCCCATGTATACTTTAATATCTGCAAAATTCATGGTGGATAAACTCTCTATACAGCAATTTTTCTGGGTTTGTGAACATGGCTTTTCCAGCTATAGCTCTCGGACTTTGCATCTTCTTCATCTTCCATGCTGTCGCCTCCAGTGTTTGCGGTCAACTGGAGGGGACCTTCGGGTGAACCAGATTGGGAAACATTCCCCTTTGAGGACTCACCATATTGTTGTTGGGACAGCCATAGACTACTCCCCAGAACAGCAGGTGTGGTTGTGGCAGATGGCAACCTTCGTGTGTGAAGTCTGTATTTCTGCAACGACAAGAAACATCTACCATGAATATTTCATCAAATGGTCAAATCCGTGGGAACCAACAGAAGATAGGTTCTCCTAAACAACAAAGTCAAAGACAAAGCAAACTCATGGTTTCCATTCACAAGCACTTCTAAGCCTTTCTTCTCTTTCCCTCATCATTCCCAGAAATCACATGGTAGAAAGGCAAAAAGGAAATTAAGAACCAACCTGAAGATGACTCTTCACTTCATCATTGGTCAAGCCATCTACTTGCATGAGTTCTCTTATTTGCTTTGGAGTAGCAACTGCAAAGGATCAAAAGTTTTGAACTTTAAGCACATGAAATAGAAGTCCATCAAAACAAGTTCATGTTTCCAAGAGATTGATTAATATTACATGATTTTCAGTTCACAATCCTGTTCATCCTCCATGTCTTAGAGCCAAAGGAAGTCACATGACATAATAAAACAACACAATTTTTCCATTTTTGGAAAAGAAATCACACAATATGATAAACAACACAGTCTTTCCAATTTCATCCATCATTAGCAAGGTCAAATAACAAAGAATCCAACTCAACACCACACCACCCCACAGGACCAAGATTCTTTAATATGAAGATTAATATGTTACAAGTACCTTGGGAGCCTCCCAGCTGCTGCAAGGCACTGACAAACCGGCGATGCAACTCTGGTGACCAACACCTCCTCTGTTTCCTAGCAGTCTGCTGCTGTGGTGGCTGTGGCCCAGAAGAGGAAACTGCTTGGCTGGAACTAGCTCTTGAGGGGGAGGAACCAGATTCCTCCTTCAGATTCATGATTCCAGGAGTCAAGAGCGTGAGACCAGGAACTGACAATAACTCTTTCTCCTCCTTCCTTGGTGCAAGAACAGAATATGCCTTAAATGGCGTAAACTCCCTGACTTCTCCCCTGTCCTTACATCCTTGGAACGGATCTTCATCATTCTTCTGCTGTAAAACCAGGAAAAACAAAGTCAATTCCTGGAAGATTATTAACATGTTTTTCTCTAATCATGCTTTTCACATCTTAGTCTTTTTGTGATTTTCTATTTTCCTGTACCTTAGTTTCTGGTTTCTGATCATTGGAGCGAAAATCATCATCACTGTTCCACAGCTGAACAGAACTCATCCAATTCTTCTTGTCTTTATTATTGCTGTTGAACTCTTTTTCATTTTTGGTGTTGACTGATGAGCCACCTTCATCACCATTGTTGTCGTTCTTCTTCAAAGGAATGAATTCTTCCAACACTGGTTGAGCATTTCTCGCCGCACATTGTATCGATTCTTCCTTCAAAACTAGAATTGCTGCGACCAAAATCAAGAAGAAAAAATGGAAATCATCACCAGAAAATTCAAGCCTGCATTAAACACATATTGATCGGAGTCTGAAAACAGCCCAAAACCCGTTTGAAGAAATAACAGATTTTGAAAAGTACCCATTGATCTAAACGATTAAAAACCAAAAACCCAGATCATGGATTAAATCGTTTTTTAAAAAATAAAGAAGACATTCAATAAAAAAAGAGGAAACATTCAATTCATGAAACGAACCGTCATTCAAGAGGAGCATGCAATAAGGAAGCTCGCGCTTAAAGGCATCGATCTTCCTCATTTCCTCCTCCAATAGCTTGACAAAACCATCGAGTTTGGAAAGCTTCTCGGAAACGTTTCCGATCATGGAAATCTCCTTGAGAAAATCAGTGATCGTTTTGGGTACAAAAGTGGGTCTAAAATCCAAGCTCAGTTCATGTCGAACCGAACCCATTTTTCCTCTAACCGATCTTTCCCTTCCCTTAAAAACCCCAGTACTCCCCTCCTCTGTTCCTTTTTCCTTTTTGGAATGTTAATCAGTGTTAGCCTAAGGTGTAAAATGAGGAAGGAAAAGAAATGGCGAGATCTATGAATGTATATATAGAATGAAAAATAAAAGGCATAGATAGATATATAGATTATGCGTAGAGTGAGAGAGAAGTGATGTTTGGGGAGAGAGAAAATGAAAAGCGGGTTTCTTTCCGGAGGCGGACTGGAAAGGAAAATTTGTAACGCGAAGATTCTGTTTGCGGTTTGCGGGTTATCAAGTCTCTTTCGCGTCGTCGCGTATTCTATAATTTGATCGGAATTTTACGAGTCAACTCGTCAGCCTAACTCGGTAACTCGGAGAATACGCACATTAATTTTAATTTTTTAAAATGTATATGCTTTTTTTTTTTGCTTTATAGATATAACCTCAAATGAAAAAGACCCTTTTACATATCCGCTATCCCACTCAGTTTAATTTGGTTGATACTCATAATTTTTTTTTTCAAATAATTAGTTAGGATATTTGAAAATATATTTTTATATATTAATTTTAAATTAAAAGAAAAGTGTTTTATAAGTTTTTTTTTATTTTTTTTAAAAATATGTTTAAAATTTTATTTTTTAATTAATATTTTTAAAACCTAATCTTTAGATTAAAAATTTTATTTATATAAATTATGTAAATTAATTTTTAAATTATTTTGATATTAATTTTTAAATTATTTCGATAGGTCTAATTATTTTATTAATTATAAAAATTTACCACTATTAAATATAAGTCAATAAATAATTTTTTTATCTAAAAAATTATAAGTATTAGATTAATATAAAAATTAACTTATATGATCTATATCAATAAAATTTTTAATTTAATGTTTAATTTTTTAAAGTATTAATTAAAAAATAAAAATTTTAAACATATCATCTAAAAAAAATTTCATGAAAACAACCTATTTTATAGTATCTTCTTAAGTTAAGCATCATTTATTAATTATTGGTTAATAACAATTATTATCTATTTTTAAACGTCAAACCAAATAAAGCATAATGAAAAATGTAAAAAAAAAATATTGATTCATCTCTATTTGTTAATAAAGGCACTTGGATCTTTTCATAGTTGAAATTGGCTTCTTTTTTGAACTCATCTAGAATAGAACACACAATCACTTCCAAACTTTTTTTTTTTAATCTTTATTACACAAAGAAAAACAATTATCTTTATTTTTTTATCTCATTTTACTCGTATGTCATACAATTCGAATTCAGAACTTCTCAATTTTAATAAAAAAATAATCATTAAATTATTTAAGTCATTGGTCCAAACTTTCGTTTCTTAACTATGATATGACCTAGTTTAAAGTGGATGTATTTAAGCATTAACTTGGCTCGTTTTCACCCCCCATATAATGTACGGAGGATAATTTTGTTTTGTTAAATCACTGGCTCAATATTTTTTTTTGGGACTCTAATGATTTAAAATTTGAGTCTTTAGATTAAAAAAATTTAAATTTAAATTTTAAAATAAATTATAAGAAAAATGAAAGGAAGAGAGACATCCTTGCATAGGCATCATAAACAGTAAAAAAGGACAAAATACTGACTCAAGCTCAATGGAAACTAGTTGTGAATTGGAATTGGAATAGGAATTGGATTATTGGAATCTCCATTTTGCATCGTACACAGAGTACAAACCTTTTTATTTATGTGTCCATTCCGTTGCCTCTTCTATTTTTCTATTAAAATGCTCATACTACCTTTCTTGGTTGGCTTTTTCAGATTCTTCCACTGTTGGAGAGTCGTGGAGACGAAGGCATCGCGCAAAGTTGACGGAATTTCATTATTTTAAATATTCAATTAGTTACAATTATTTCATTAAAATCTTTCATTTTAGAAAATGTGTAGATAAGTGTTGCGACTTTTGCACCCTATCTCAATCAAATCCTTTTGTGGCAATAGGGGAAAAAAAATCAAAAGAAGATATTGGAGGTCCAATTGTCAAATTAAGGAAGTACCCACCCAAATACAAGCAAAAAAAATTCTTTTAATTTGGACTTTGGCAATGAATTCCATAAGGAAATTTGTTTTTAATTAAGCATGTTTAGGGGTAGGCTTATTGATAAAGAAAAAGTTGAATTGGTAATTTTGACTTAATTAACCTTGTGGTTAACATTTTATATATGAGAAATTAAGAAGGCATTGCAGTCAAGCATAGGGAAAAGTATTCCAAAGCAGAACCCACTTTTGAGGGTCATCTGGTGAGAGTAGTTAATTAAGAATAATTTGCTTTGTGGAGAAAAGGGAAAAAAGATTTTTTTTTAGGAAAGAAAAATAATTTTTTAATTAAAAGCATAATTTTGTTAAAAAGATTAAAACAAATATAATTCAAGCTATGCTCTTATTATATAAGTTAAATAGAAAAGCAAAAACACTAGAAAGATCATATGATACTAATATAAAAAGATAATACTTGTGATATATATGAATAATTAAGTACAAAAAATCTTATTAACACTTATCATAAAGTATTAATAAGATTAAGTAAACAAATAGAAAAGTGATTTTTGATTTTTCTTTTTTTATCGCTTTCAACAACCACACCTACCATAATACCTTTTCTAGAAAAAGCTAAAAAAACTACCAAGATAGAATTTTGAAATATCCGCATTAGATGTCTATCCTCTATAGAGATTTACCTAAAAAACAGACCATCCATTGAGATTCCAACACGGTTACGGCACCTCTTTTTACTATGCTTTTTCTAAACATTCTTTTGCTAATATTTCTTTTATTGGGGAATTACATATTTTTGCCAATGACCTTAGCAATCAAGTTATAATTTGAGTAGAGTAGAAAATTTTAAATTTGAATCATTGACATGTGGTTAGGATGAGTAATATAATGAAAGATAATTATCTTTTATTATATTATTTATAATAAAAAATAAACAAACCAAGTATATATGTTTGATTGAATTGGTCTCATTTTGAACTTTAAATTTATTTTAGTCCTCAATTGGTATTTTAACTTATTTATTTTCTAACCAAATTCTATCAAAGTTAAGTGTTATATTGTGCTATATTGTATTATAATGATAGTTTTTTTCTTTTTTATTATTTAAAAATATATAAAATATTAATTAAAATTAATAATAAAATATAAAAATTTGTTATAAAATTACCTTTTTAAATGAGGCACAGTGTGAAAAAGTTGTGCAAAGCACTAATAGAGGAAAGTGTAAACAAAATGTTAGAACTTGGAAAATCTTAAAGAATTACTTAATCACATTGTCTTTTATTATTTTTTTAATAAAAAGAATTACTTACCCATAATGTCTTTAAGGAATCTCTAGTCAACAAGCAATTAAACTAGCTCATCCTATGGTTCAAGAGAAACCGATGCAAGAGAGGGACAAAAGTTACGTTGGTAGTGCTAGTAATGGGGACACAAAATCTAAGGGAACCGTAGGAGATTTTAAAATGTAATGATGTAATTTTTAACCTTTTAATTTACCATTGATGAGATTCCCCTTTCCCATTTTCAAAGGAAATCCCCATTCCCTCCGCCACTTTCCAACCTCAGAAGGATGAATTGGTGGAAATAAAAAAAAATGTACTTAAAATTGGCACTTAAAATACTAAAGGTAAGATTCATTAATAAATAAATATTATTTTATATCATATTTAAATTTTTAGTTTTAATATCAACATTTAAAAATTTTAATTTTTGTAAATGTAATAGACCAATATATTAAGTATATTTTTAAAATTACTTGAAAATAAATTAATTTTAAAATATAAAAAAATTACCCAAAAACATAAAAACAGTAAAATATATTTAAAAAAAGTAAATTTTCCTACCCATATTCCAAAATGCAATTTCTCTCACAATTTTCATATTAAAGAGAGAAAAAATAAAATAAAATAAAATAAAGTAAAGGAGGAGTTGAAAGAGAACTGCATGTGGCAAACCTTGATTGGAAAGAATAAAAAGACAAGCCTAAAAATCAAAACATGGAAGCAAATTGGCTTAGAGATAAGGAATCTAAGTGGGCTCAAACTTCGATATTGCCTGAGATTTGAATTGGAACAATGGAAGAAGATGCTCTCAAAAAAAGACAAGCTTTTACAGCCATTAGATTCCCAATTCTTTCCATCAGAAGTTCAGAACTAAGAATCTCTCACATCCTCCACCACTTATTTTAATTTTAATTGTGTGTTTTTTTGTAAAAAAATATTCCATCTGAATGAAACGTACCATTTTGGATTGGATCCGCCCGATTTCTCGCATCTCCATCAGTTTTGTCGGATGCTTGTACGGGAAGAATCTAGGCATGTTTCGGATTTTTTAACATTCCAATTTTGTCCCCATTTCATTTTTCACCATATATTTTTTAAAAGACAGATTAACTAACTGAAATTTTTTTAAAAAAAGAAAAAAAATTGGATACTAATTAGATAAGTATATGATCATATATTTTTATTATATTGTATTTTTTCAAGATTTAGTTTGAAATTTATGCAAAAGTTCTAAAATTGATTGATTTGAAAATGCTATCTTTTGATCTTTAAAATTATGATTACTTAAATTAAGCAATACCAAAACCATTATAAGTTTTTTTCTTATTTGTTATCATGCCACGCCTGAATTAGAGTTTTGATAAATTTCTATTCTTTTTCACAAGATAAAAGTGAAACAAATGAATGAAATGGTCAATATGAACCCAATTCTCCCCCTAGATGGGTCATAAAATTGAGAATTTTTTTTAGTTAAGGTTAAAAGTGTGGAATAAAAAAAATACTTTTTTTTAATGGATGTGGTTTTTTCCACAATAAAAATTTTGTTATTCTATCAGCAAAAGTAGTTATGAAAACCACATTGCGTTCATAGGCAGTCAATTATACAATTATTTCATTGAAGCAACAAAAAATGTTATGAAAATAGGCCCACTTTCTTTTCAAACTGTATTATTGAGGACAAGGTAAGGGGTATGTCAGTCATTTTAATGAGAACCTTTCTTCTTTTGTGGGGAGGTGTTCAATATTCTTCTCTCTCCATGAGTGGTCAAAGAGAATGAGATTCTCTTAATCCTTCTTCTAATGAAAGTAATTATGATAGCAAGGAATTGAAGACAGGTCATGGGGGAGAGAACCTTTTTGAAAACCTAAAAAATAGTTTGGTCAATTCAAGAAAAAGATTTAATTTAAAAGGGGAGGTGTG